GCTGAAGAAGATATTGATGAGGTGGCAGATCACAGTGATAATGGTGGTGGTTGTTGCTCTGATAATAATTGAGGAGATATAATATCTGCAGACACTGATGGTAAAATAGGTTCGGATTGTGGGGTTTGAGATAAAGAATATCGAGGTGATGTTTTTTGTGGGGATAATGGTTGTGATAATGATGTTTGTTTGGATCCATTGTCTAGAGATGGTAGTTTTGGTGATAAACCATTACTAATCTTTTTTAATGGAAAAACATTGTGGTGATGAATGTTTTTTAAATATGAGAGTTGATTTCTATATTGTATTGACTCTGGTATATCAATATTATTGTTATTGTTATTATTATCATTATTATTAATGTTGGTAGTATTTTTGTTAACATCGTTGTCATTGCTATTATTTATATTGTTGTTATTAACATTGCTTTGATTAATATTATCAGTGTTGACAGATGTTTTAATTGAGGTGGTATCGCTTTCATTGATTTTATTTTCTGGTTCACTTGAGGTTTTTATTGGTTTTAAATCTGATTCATTGTTATCAAAATCATTACTTACATTTAAACTATTACCATTATTATTTATAATATTATTATTATTATTATTATTATTATTATTATTATTATTATTATTATTATTATTATTATTATTATTATTATTATTATTACTACTACTATTATTATTATTATTACTGTTTGGGGTATTATTTCTATTCGTTGTTTTTACTGGATTGATTCTAACTTGTTGTGATGGATATCTGGGTCTATGTGTAACACTATTTGTGGGAACATTATTAGGAGCTGATAATTTACAACCTTTTATCCATTGTAGTTTTGTAATGTTTGATACTAATAAATCATTATTTGGTAATATGTTATAAAAATTGCTATTGGTAAAAAAAATAAAAATATTAGCAAATTATTTAAAATTAAATAAAATTTATAAAATTTAAATTACCAATTAGAATCAGGATAGTTAGTATCATTATATAACTGTTGAATTTTATCAATTTGGGCATCTCCAAATGATATGACATCAAAACCGACTTGTTTTTCTTTTAAAAAATTTATATTATCCTTTAGCTCTTGATTGTTTAAACTATTAAAAAAAGTATTAGATATTAAAACTTAAAAAGAAATAAATAAAAAAAAAGGTAATAACCTATATTTACTCTAAACTATTTGTTGGACTTCCAATAAACATTAATATTTTGCATTGGTACAGTTCGGAAAATTTATTTGTTAAAACCAAACGGGTAAGTCGAAAGGAATAACCAATTTTACATTCGTTTTCAAAAGGAAGTATACTTGTAAAAGGATTTGAATATGTTTTAGATGACAAAATTGATATGACTGATGGTCTAAAAAAATGAAGAAAAAAATTATGAAATTTGAAAAATTTTAATAAAATTAAAAAAATTAAAAATTAGAAAAATTTTAATAAAAAATTTTTGGGGAGTTTACTTACTTATCATCAGCCATCGCTATCATATATAAAGTATATCTAATCATATTCTTTGTTAAATTATTTATTAGTGTTGTTATTGCGGTGTATTGTGATTTCCATCTACTTTGAGGATAATCTGAATTCCTCATCCAGTTCGAGTTGTCTAAAAATATAACCAATATTAATTCATCATAGACTTTACTTATTCCTGTAGTTGTATTTGGTGTTGATGTAGTATCAGACGCAGTTACTGATGCGTCTGATGGTGGAGTTGTAGTAGTATCTGTAGTACTATTTGTTGTTGTAGTTGTAATTGTCATTTTTTTTTTTTTTTGAACGAAATGATTTGGTGTGTGTTTAAAATTATTTAAAAAAAAAAAAAAAAACAAAAATATTTATATGTACATACAAATTAGAAAAAAGAAAAAAAAAAATTTATAAACAAAAAAAAATAAATAAAATAAAAAAAAATAAATAAAACCTATTAAAATTTTATTCACACACTCTTGTACACAATAAAAAATTAACTATACATAAAAGGAAAAGAAAAAAAAAAAAAAAAAAAAAAAAAAAAAAAAAGTTATATAATCTTAATTTTATTATTTTTATTTTATTACTATTATTTTATTGTGGTTTTATTATTGTTGTTTTATTTATTATATTTATTATTATATTATTATTGTGTGTAAATTATAAAAAAAATATATTTATAAATATATTATATTAAAAACAAAAGTAATAATAATATATAGTATATATAATTCCAAAACACAATAATAATATATTAATTTTTAAATTTAAATTTTTTTTTTGTAAAATTTTTTTTTTTTAATTTTTTTTTAATTAATTTAAAATTAAAAAAAAAAAAAATTTTAAAAATAAAATTTTTAAAAAATTTTTTTTTAAAAAAAAAAATTTACCTACACCCACTCCCACACAACACACTTGATTTGAAAAAAAAAAGAAAAAAAAAAAAAAAAACAAAAAGAAAAAGTAATGATTAAACATTTATTTTTAGAACAGTTAATATTTTTGATAGTGTCGCCATTGACATCATTCTTGAATCTTTATCAGAGTCTGATTGAGAAATTTCGTAGAGGAAAGAGGTTATGTCTTCGATTTCATCCGAATAATCTTGATCAATGATTTGTTTTGTTAGATTCTCTTTTGAATAGAATACCCTGGACAAAGCAAACAGTAATGAACGACGCACATTTGTATCTTGATGATTTCGAAGTGACCAACAAAAGCTAACCAACTCTTTTGAAACTTTACGCGAGTCTATTGAATTACCTGAACATTCGACAATAACACCCAATGTGTAGATTAACCTACTTAATAAATAGTGATCATACCCCAACAAATCCATACTGTAGCATTGTGTAACTTTATCATAACGTTCTAATAAAGGATAAAAATAAATTGAAACTAAATTATAGAATTTATTTGTTTTAATAATTGGTCTTGGTGTTTTTTTTATACCCCATCTTCTAACTATACCAATTTCATTAATAAGTTTTGGTTGTTGAGTAATAAATTCTTCTTGTTGGGGTTGGCTTTGTTGTTGTTCTTTACTATTACTACCTGACAACTCTTTTGCTGATTCGGCGATTGTATCTAAAATTTCTAATCTTTGACCAACACTGAAATTTGATTCTTTGAATGAGTTTGTTAAAAATGGTACTACTATTGCTGGTGATTGAGTTGCCAATGCTACTAATGCTTCATGTCTATGTTGTGAAAATCCATCCAAATCATACTCATTACTTAAATGGAGCAATGAACTTGCTAATGGTTGAGCTAATTCGTCCAAGTCATCTGGATTTGACCATACAATTTTAGAAATTGAAAATAATGAGTTTTCCCATGATTCTGCTGTATGTTTTGAACTTTGTAACTCTAATAAGCAATCTCTTAAATAACTATTAAAAAAAATATTTTGTTAATATAATTCTAATAAAAAAAAAAAAAGCGCAATTTAATATGATAACACCTACATTTTCTTTTTTAAATTTGGGTTTAAATCAGACTCGTCATCTTCTAGATTGTATGGTACTAAATCATCATCACTATCTTCAATCTCGGCTTCATCGTCAATCTCTTCAATAAAAGCTTTTCTTTTTTCTTGAGTATTATTGGTTCTTTTATTATATACTTTTTCTTCTTTCTCGTCTTCTTCGTCTTCTTCATTTGGTTCCATTGCCATATCAGGATCATCATATTTACTAAACTCCTTTTCTAATAATTCTCTATAGTGTTCCATTTTATTATTATTACTGTTTTCTTTATTACTAATATTACCCTTATTATTATTACTATTAATTATATCTTTAAAAACTGGTTTAAAATTGGTTGAAAAACATTTTTGGTCTGGTGTATCTAAACTATAATCAAAATGTAATTGACCTTCACTTGTTTGATTGTAAAATAATTTTGAAAATATTTCGGCTACAAACATTCCTCTAACATTGATATTTGAAATTGTTATCTTTAAATGTAAATCTACCCCATTTAATAGTAAACTCTTGAGTTTGTTTAGTGAATTTTCTTCAATTTTGAGTATATCCTGATCATTAACCTTTTCGATAAAATATATGATTGATCTTGTTATATAGGAGTGATGTTCATTTGTGCAATGTCTGATAAAATATGAATCCTTCCATGATTTTAATAAATTGTTTAAAATGGTAAATAAAATTGATTGATTTTCTTTTCTTTTTTCATATTCTTCTTCCCCTTCGTCGTAGTTCATTTGACCTTTTGCTTTTTCATCCTTCTTTTCTATTTTTTCAACCTTTAATAATGAATATAATAAATCTAAAAAACAATTTTGGGTGTTATTATCCAACTCTTTCAGTATCAGAATTTTATTGAAAAGAATGTGAAATATCATTGAGGTTTCTGTTGCTTCATAATCTTTATATAAATCTAAAAATAAAATTTTAAATATATTATTAAAAGATTCATATGAAACTAAAAGTTTAAAAAAAAATTAATTAGTTTAATGAAATTTATTGTAATATTTTGTTTTAATAGTATATACAACTTACAATTTGGTAATGCTTTAATTAATGATTCTAAAAATGAATCTAAACAACTGCCATGAATACCAATTACTATTTGACATTGGATCTTTCTTTTTAAAAGTATTATATTATTGTCAGTAGTGTTTTTGAACAACTCTACAAAAAACTTATTTATAATTATATCTTTATCACCAGTTTTAATCATTTTTGTAAAAAGTATTGAAATTTGATTTGAAATTAATATAATTTTATTATTACTGCAATTGTTTTCTAGGACATTATTAATTGATATTATTAAATGCTCTATTATATTATTAAAATAAATTGAATTTGTTGTAAAAAATTCTAGTATGGATTCTTTAATATTTGATAGTGGTGATTGTTTTATTCCACCCCTAATTCTACTATTATTCTTATAATAATATTGTATGGATCTTGATTTATCTGGAACTGAGCAAATAGAATTCACTATTAGGTTCCATATAGATTCATAAATTTCGTTATTGTTTGATTCTTGGTTTTGTTTATTTATTTTTCTATTTATAAATTCAATGAATAATTTTGATAGATATTTGTTATCATTGTTATTGCTATTATTATTATTATTATTTAAAAATTTATACAATATATTAAACAAAAATGATAGTTTTTGGGAATATAATTGTTGATTATTATCATTATTATTATTTTTATTGGTTTGATATTCGTTTAATATGGTTGTTATTGTTATAAATGATTCTAATAATATATTAGGGATAAAGAAAAAACTTTCGAATAGTTGTTTGTCAGGTTCAGTGAATGCGAAATACCAATTGTCTAAAACATTCTCTATTAAAAGCTTTAGTATTGATGTTATCGTTAAATGATTATCGTTATTACTAATATCTGAATTTAATTGAAATATTGATTGTTTTAAATCCCTAAGTTGGTCAATTACAATTTTAATATCTTTGGTAGAGTTTACATTATTTATTATTTCTTTTATATCTATTGGCATTTTATGATTGGAAAAAAAAATAAAAAATATGGAAATTAAATAATTTAATAATTCAATAATTAAAAAATCAATGAAAAAAAAAAAATTATTTTTTATTTTTTTTTTTTTTTTGGTTTTTTTTATTTTTTTAATTTTTTTAATTTTTTTTTTAAAATTTTTAATTAATTTATAACAATTTTTTTTTTTCAAAGTTATTATTTTTTTATTTTTGGTACGAAAAGAATTTTTAGATAAATCTAAATAATTCAGATAAAAAAAAAAAAAAAAAAGAAAAAAAAAAAAATGTCACAATCATCACAAGATGAAACTATTAAATGTATTGAGGGATATGTTAACCCGCAATCAGAAGAATCTAAAAAAACATCATCGTTAAATTCAATTCTTTTAGGTTTGGTATCAAAGAGAATTGATATTCAAGATATAGTTTTAGGTTTGGGTGACTATTTAAATACCAAAGATTCAATATTAAGAGCTAGGGGTACTTTATTATTATCAGAAGTGTTATGTAGATTACCAGATTACAAATTAAATCAAGATCAAATTCATTTCTTATCAATGTTTTATTGTGACCGTTTACAAGATACTCCATGTGCCGCCGAAGTAGTTAAAGGTATAACTGGTTTAGTTACAAATCATAATTTAGAATATCCAGATAATCAAAAATTATTAAGAAAGTACGCAAATATTTATAATCAAAATAATAATTACAATTAAAAGATTAATTACTAACCCGCCCAATATTTAATTTAATTTTAAAAATTTTTTAAAAATTAAAAGTATTTTTACAGAAGTTCACCCATCATCATTAACACACGCCCACAGAAAAATGGTTTTACAAATTATTGAAATTATGTTTAATAAATGTTTAGGTGAAATCCAAGAATTAAAAAATGACTTTATGGTTGGTTATTTACAATTTATCGATAATGAAAAAGACCCAAGAAATTTAATATACTCTTTCAAATTAATGCCAAAAGTAATTTATAATATACCAGAACACAAAAATTTCTTAGAAAGTTTATTTGAAATCTTATCATGTTATTTCCCAATTTCATTTAATCCAAAAGGAAATGATCCAAATGCCATTACTAGAGATGATTTATCAAATTCATTATTGTAAGTAGTGGTTTATTAATATAAAATTAATTCATTTTATTAATATTAATAATTTTTTTATAGAAATTGTTTTTCATGTACACCTTTATTTGCAGAATATTCTATTCCATTTTTAATTGACAAAATTTGTTCAAATTTAGTTGAAACAAAGATTGAAGCACTAAAGGCATTGGTTTATTGTTGTGATCGTTATGGTGGTGAAGCTATTCGTCCATTTCTCGAAGATATTTGGAGTGCACTTAGAACTCAAATTTTAACTCATAAGAATGCATCAGTTATTGAAGAATCAAAGAAAACTATTTTTTATCTCTGCAAATCATTAACAAAAGATCAAAAAGTTTTAGAATCATTTTTAGCAATTATGATTAGAGAGTGTCTTCATCATATCAAATCTTCACAGGATTCAAAAATTGCAATTTATTGTGCATCAATTTTATATCAAGCAATTAGTTCAAGTTGTAAGTAGATTTAGTTTTATATTTATATTTAATTTTTTTAAGAATATTTATTTCTAATATTATCAAATTTATAATAGTATTATCATCAAAAATTATTTTAATCCATGTTTTACCAAATTTATTTAAATTTTTCAAAGAATTACAACAAGAAGATTCAGTTACAAAAACAAATGAACAAAACTCTGTTCTTGGATTATTTAGTGATTTATTAAAAGCAAACTCACTCGCATTCGATATAAATAGTACCAGCGATACTGAAGTTATCAATCCATTAACACCATTTGTCGAGCAGCTTTATCAACTTTTCACCGATCTTTTAGTAAACCCATCATCTGCAATTAGAGCCAGTTCAATCGAATGTTTATCCTTTTTATACATCTCCAAAAAAGTCAAAACAAATGAAAATGGCGAAAATGAATTTTTATTAGATATCGAAAAGAGACAAGTAATCATAAAGAATTTAGTATCATTATTGAATGAAAACGATAGTACACTTAGACACAAGAGTTTAGAGTCACTCTTTAATATAGCTTCAAATGAAAACCCAAAAGTTATCAACGAATATGCTATCCCAACTTTATTACAAATGATAAACTCAGTTCACACTGATAGCACCACTACAGATCAATTAAAAGATTTAAAGAATTATTTAGAGGCTTTTTCTAAATTATGTACTCATCAACCATTATTAGAAAGTGTAATACCACAAATTCAAATCTTAATTCAACATAATATTAAAGACACTTACCAAAATGAACAAGATTTCCAAAAATGTATTTTAATCCTTAAAGCAATCTCATCCATTTTAGAGAAATCAACCAATCAAGTAACAATGACAATTTGTAGCGATTCAATTTTACTTCCATTAATCAAAGGTCTTTATAAACAAATTATATTTTCATCACCAACTACCTTTAATTTAGATTACTTTAACCAAATCTTAACAGCCTCATTGAAAATGATTCACTCAATTGTAGAAAATACCTCACTCGATTCACAAACTAAAAAACTATATAGCTTAATCGACTTATTTTTAAAGGGTGATTTAAAGGTTTTAGGTTTTACCGATGATGAAATATCAAATAAACAAATTTTACCATTTGAAAATAATATTACCAAAGAAAACGAAAACATCAGATTATTAATCCCAATTTTCACAACCTGCATCTCCCAAAGTAAAAGTGACTTATCATCAAATGACCAATTAAAACAATCACTCTATGAAATGTCATTAAATACAAATGTATCCGAAACCACATCAATCTCTTGCAACAAAGCCTATGCCTCAATTTTAAATAAACAACCAGACGATGTAAACAACTACCCAACCGATTTTGAATTTTTCGAAAACAATTTAATTAAAGTTATAAAGTCACCAGAATCACCTATAGAATACCGTATAAGATGTTTGGATTTATTAACTTGGTGTACAAAAGCATTATTAACAAATGGTAATAAGATTAATATTCAACTTGGTAATTGTATTTCAGATATTATTTCAACTGTTACAGATTCAAATGAAATTACCTCACGTGCTTCAAAATCATTCGATATTTTATTAGATAACACCGATGTATTAAATGAAAAATCTGGTTCAGTTATTAAGGTAATTAAACATATTATTTATATTTTGCTCTATAGTAAACCTTTATTAACTTATAGCTTTTTTTTATATATTAGATTTTATATGACCAAAAATTCTTTACTTTAATGTTCCCAATTTTGTTAGAATCATTCAAAAAATATAAAGCAACACCATCAATTTCATCACATTATTTAATGGCAATCTCATATTTATTAAGACACGTACCAAAAGAAGTTTTATTAAGCGAATTAAATGAAATTCTTCCAATTGTTATGCAATCATTAAAATCAAATGATTCAAACTCCTTAGAACTATTAGAAAGCAGTTTACAAACCTTAAAAATGTTAATTAATGAAACTCCAAATAGCTTCATTTCTTATTTAGACTCATTAATCCCATCATTAATCCAAATTTCTGTTAAATCACCACAATATGTAAATATTATTTAATTTATTTTTATATTATTATTAAATACTAATATTTTTTTTTTTAAACATTAGAATTTAAGAAGATTGGCTTTAGAAATATTAACTTTAATTTCGAAACTATTACCATTCCATAATTTATTCCAATTCAAACAAGATGTAACCACCGGTATTATTCCATGTTTAGATGATAAAAAGAGAATTGTAAGAAAGCAAGCCTCAAATTGCAGAAATAATTGGTTTATTTTACAAAAATAAAATAAAGTTTAAAATAAATAAAATTATTATTTATTAATACAAAAAAAGTTATTTTTAAATATGAGTTTATTTTTAACTTTTACTGCATGATTTTAAATTTTTTATTGATGTTGATAATACATTATTACTATTTATACCTCGGAAAATTAAAGAACAGTGGAATGATTCGAGACGATATTCAGCAATGTCGGTATTGTTAATATTAATAGGGCTCCATAGTTTTTCAGCGATTGAACTTGCAGATGGATATATTTTAGAAATAATTTGACTTACACCAATAGTATCGGTCCACAAAGCACCCTCTCCACCTAAAAGTAAATCTATATTATCTTGGCTAATTACACTAGTTGGTTCGAATGAATATGCTCTTTGCCAACTTGAGTATTCTAATTCTAAGTAATAAAAATCTGCTGGAGATAGTAATGTTTTATATCCATTACCTGTTGTTGATTTTGCTAGTGTTGGTGAATGATAAACTTGAACTATAACATCTTTAGATAATTTAGTTCCAAATACATCGAAAGTCTCTTCCCAAACAATAGGTGTTTTTCCTAAATCTATTAATTTATTAAAAACCTGCTCTTCAAAATACATTGTTAAATTATCAAAACTTGTATATTTTTCGTTTTCCATCCACTGTTGAATTAAACCTGATCCTTTCCAACAATCGTAATTAATTTCGTCCCCACCTACATGAAAAAATGAATCGTTGAAAACCTGTGTGTATTCTTCTAGCAAAGCAGTTGCTACTTTTATTGAAAGTGGGTTTGTAGGGTCAATGGGGACATCACAGTAACTATTTTAAAAAAACAATGTTTAATAAATAAAAAAGATAAAATATTAAACAATTTAAAATTAATATTTACTCTGTACAATTCCAAGGGCATAAAGAACCTGCTTTATTATAATTCTCTGGTAATATATTAAAAACCTCTCCCCAACTACCAGCATGACCTGGCATATCAATCTCTATTAAAACCCTAATTCCTCTTTCTTTTGCATATTCTATCACATGATTGATATCCCTATATGAGTAAATCTCCATTTGAGACCATGCTGCTTTTGTAATATTTGGGAATGTTTTACTTGATAAAGGAAATGCTTGAGAATCTACAATGTGCCAATGGAATGTGTTAAATTTGTTATATGCTAGTGAATCTAATATTACTTGTATAGTAGGAATTGGAATAAAATGCCTGCTTGTATCTACCAATAATCCTCTATGTGGGAACCTTGGTTTATCATTTATAAACCAAGAGCAATTGGATATATAGTATCTAGATAAACTGTAATCATATTGAACTAATTGATAAAATGTTTCTAATCCTCTAATTGCACCATAAACTGTTTCTGCTGTTAAAACTGCATTAGGTTTTAAACTACCACCACTTACTTCATTTATAACTAACTGATAACTTTCATCAAATCCAAAATCCAATTTTTCATTATTTGTTAATATAATAATATTTAAATACTTTTTTTAAAAAAAAATTAAAATTTGTAAAATAAAAAGCATTTTAAATAAAATAATATTTACATTTAATGTTGTATTTGATTTTTCTATATTTGAATCTTGTTTAAATATTAGATCTTTGTATCTATTTATTGCTTTATTCAAGATTTTAGATTTATTATGACTTGTAAAAAAAAAATCTTTACTCAAATCAATATTATTTGTACCACTTGAAACTTGGTAAGGATATGGCCAAATTTTTATTATTGAATTAAAGTCTATATTTTGGTTTGGTTTAATATTATTATTTGGTATATTTTTATATTTTGGTTTAAAACACAGAGATAAAATAATCGAAATAACAAATAATCCAAATATAATAGAAAACAAAACAAGAACTATTTTATTTTTTGATTTATAATTCATTTTTTATTATATATAAACAAACATTAATACAACTATAATAAAAAAATAAATAAAAAAAACCAAAGAAATAAACCCAGTAAAAAATAATTATTTTAAAATAAAAATAAATTATTCTTTTTTTTTTATGGTGGTTAGTTTGGGGGGTGAAATGTAAAAATACAAAAATAATATAGTAAAATATAACTAGAATTTGTAAAAAAAAAAAATAAATTTTGCAAAGAAATTTTTATTACAATTAATATAAATAAAAAAACTAATTTTTATAAATAAAAAAAAAAAAAGATTTTTTTTAAATATATTTATAAATTTTTTTTTTAAATTTAATATTTTTTAAACAATTTAAATTATTAATAACTTTAAGAATAATAGCATGATAATGGGTTTAAAGGTGAAGTTGAATTTAAAGGAGCAGCACCAATATCACGCAACAATAATGAGCAACGGAATCTTTCTAAACGTGAATGAGCAGTTTCTATGTCATCAACGGATGATGACCAAAGAACTTCGGCTGTTGCAGAGGCTCTTGGATATATTTTTGCAAAGGCATTACTGATATCTACTAATTCAGACCACATACAAGTTTCACCACCTAAAAGTAATGGTAACTCTGATGAATCTATTTCGGCAGCAGGATCGAATTGATATACTCTTTCCCAATTAACACTTGGATTGTCTAAATACCATGGCCAATATGGACTTTGTAATGTTCTATATCCAGCTTTAGTTGAGTTTACAGCCAATAATGGATTATGATATACATGAACTACGACATCCTTTGGTAACTGTTCACCAAATAAAAGAAAAGCATCTTCCCACATAACTGGTGATCTTTTTAAACTAATTAATTTATCAATTGCCTTTAATTCGAAATACATTGCAGCTTGTTCATAAGAAGTCATATTGTTTGCATTCATCCATGATTTAATAGCGTCTGAATTATTCCAACAACTAAACTCTACTTCATCTCCTCCTATATGGAAAAACTCGTCTTGAAAAATACTATTCTCGGTTCCTGTGAATTCGTCTAACAATGAAAATGCAACGTCATATGACTTTTGTTTTGAAGGATCTAGTGGTACATCACAATATGTTGAACAATCCCAGTTACATCCTGGTGCCTTTTCAATTCCATCTGGAATTACTTCTGAAAAAGCTTCACCCCAACTTTTAGCATGTCCTGGCATGTCAACTTCTAAAACGACACGAATACCTCTTTCTTTTGCATGTTGAACAATTTCTTTAATATCTTTTGTTGAATAAATTTCGAGTGGGGTCCATGCACCCCTGGTCATATTAGGGAAGGTGGTACTTGTTAGTGGGAAAGACTGTGAATCGACGGCATGCCAATGGAAAGTATTGAATTTATTATATGATAACGAATCTATAAACTTCTTCAAAAATGTTGTAGAGTACCAATGACGGCTTGTATCTAACATAACACCTCTATGTGGGAATCTGGGCTCATCATAAATGTTCCATGGTGCTTCTGGGATAAAATAACCTTGTGATGAATAGTTATAAAATACCATTTGATAAAAAGTTTCCAACCCTCTCATAGCGCCGTATACAGTTCCTGCTTTTAATATACCATAGGTTTCTTTGATATGCAAAGTGTAACTTTCATTGAAACCAATCTTTAAAGTTTCATCATCTGAATAAACTTCTATTTTTAAATACTTTAAAAATAATAAATTTAAAAAACTATTTAATATTAAAAAAAATAAATAAACTATCTCTAGGAAATACTTACATTAAAGTAATTTACCTCTTTATCTGATGGAATATTTTTATTATCCTCTTTAAAAATCATTTTATAATATCTTTTTGCTGTATTATTTAATAATTCTGAGGAAATTAAATTGCTTGAGAAATAAAACTTTGAAGATATTTGAAATGTTTGATTTCCATGATTTACAGTCTTTGGTTTGGGCCAAATTGCAACAATATTTGGACTGAAATCATTACTATTTTCACTATTAATACTTTTGAAATTATTTATATTATTATCTGTATAATCTATAACACCATCATTATTATCTCTATTTATATTTATGTTATTAAAACGTATTGATACTGATTTTGAAATTATAAATGATAAAATTATTGTACATAATAAAATAATTGATTTTTTCATTATTATTTATCTTGTTTCTTTTATATGTTAAATCATATAAAAAAATATAGATATAAAAAAAAAAAAAGAAACTTAAATATTTTTATTTTTCAAAAAATAAATAAATATTAAAAAAAATATTATAAATAAAAAAATCTGTGTGTTGTATAAATTTGGTGTGGGTTTGTCTTTATAATATTTTTTTTTAATTTTTTTATTATTCTAAATAAAGGGTGTGTGTTAGTTTGAATACTTAATTTTTATTTATTATTTGGGAATTTTACAACTACCTTTTTTATTAAATTTGATAAAAATAAAAATGTTTTGTTTTTTTTTTATCAAAAGATAAAAATAATAAAAATAAATAAAAATAAATAAAAATAAATAAAAATAAATAAAAATAAATAAAAATAAATAAAAATAAATAAAAATAAATAAAAATAAATAAAAATTAATATAAATGGAAATAGATAATTTTTTTATTATAATTGTTGCTTTTATTTCAGCAAATTTAAAAAAAATATGTGAACATAAAAAAATTTTTTTTTTTTGTTTGTTTTTTTTTTTTTTTTTTTTTTAATATTTGATCATTGATCTTAATAGTTTTGAATTATGTTCACCAGTTTCGTTAATGAGGAAATTTAATAGTGATGATTCGTTTTGAATTAATTTTGATGGTTTGTCAAATTCGGATATGGTACCTGAATCTAAAATCATTATACGGTCACTATCAAGAATTGTGTTAATACGATGGGCAATTGTTAAAATTGTGCAATGTTGGAATTTTTCACGAATACATTTTTGAATTAATTGATCGGTATGAGTATCTACTGATGCAGTTGCTTCGTCGAGTACTAAAATTCTTGGTCTTTTGAGTAGAGCACGACCTAAACATATTAATTGTCTTTGGCCTTGACTCCAATTCTCTCCACCTTCGTTTACCCTGCTATCCAAACCACTGTCACCATTCATTTCTCTAACAACATCGTATAATTGAATATCCTTTAATACTTCCCACAAGTCATGATCTGAGTATTCTGAAAGTGGATCAAGGTTTTCTCTTAATGTGCCATTAAACATCCATGGATCTTGTGGAATAAGACTGAGATTGTGACGTAAATCTTTTAAACCAATTGTTGATACATCGATATCATCAATAAAAATGGAACCACTTGATAATTCTACCAATCTAAACAATGCTAAAAGGGTGCTACTTTTTCCACTACCTGTTCTGCCTGCTATTCCAATTTTTTCACCTGGGTTAATTTGAAAAGAAATACCCTTGAGAACTGCTGGTAAACCTTCACGATAACTCATAAAAACATTTTTGAAAACGATTGAACCCTTGCTTGGCCAATGGGATGGAGGTCTATTGTTTTCAATAATTTGTGGTGCTTCGCTTGGTACTTTGGTATAATGTGAAATACGTTCTACTGAATTCATTTTAGTTTCTGTATCTGCAACTTGAACTGTAGCTTTATTAAGATTTGTGGTTAAACTGAGGGTATAACTTAATGATAAACCTACACTTGCTATTGAAATTGAATCTTTATTAAGAATGATAAATAAGCAACTGAAGAACATTACGAGATTGCCTAATAAATTAAGACGAAGACCCAACCATTGATTCATTGCTTGCAATGTTAAGTAACACTTGTTGTTGTTGTCCAATAGTTTTTGATTTAATAATTCATTCTCTTTTTCTTTTCTATATGCTCTTAATGTAATAACACCATATAATGTTTCCGAGAAATGAGAAAAAATTGGTGAACGGGAAACTGATTCCAAACGCTGTACTTGAATAGATGTTGAACGGTAGAAATATTGAAGGAAGTAAAATATAATGATAATTGGAGTTAATGGTGCCAAAAGAATTGGTGTAATAATTGAAATAACGACTAAAATGGCTAAAACATTGGTTGAAAAATTTAAAAATTGTGAAACTGATTGGGTCATTAACATATCGATAATATCTGTGTCACGGGTGAATCTATTAAGAATACGACCAAGTGGTGTGGTATCAAAGAATGACATTGGAGCTTTGATCATTGACTTGAATAATTTTAAATGAATTTCTCTACTGGCCCCTAGTGTGTATTCATAGAATAAAACGATACGGGTGGCTACTAATACAATACTGGTAACACCAATACCTACAAAAATACCTAAAAACTGCGAACCTGTTAATGAAGAGTCTTTGCCATAATGAGCACTTGACCAACTGCTTAACCACCAATTTGTAAATGTTTGGGTTGATGTATCTATAAAGAAACCAATTAAAGCACATAAGAACAAATATTTACCACCAACAGTGAAATAATAAAGATAATGTCTAAATGATACTGAACCTTCTTCAATCTCTTCCGCTTTAATTAATGATCCATCCCCATCTTTATTGTTATTGATTTCAACTTTTTCATCTTGGACCTCTTCATCTTGATTGATTTCCTTTTCATTTTGCTCTTGGTCGCTAACTGAAAATTGTTTTAATAAGTTTGAAAATTTGCTTTTATCGCTAGGGTCGCTATTGCTTTCAATTAATTGTTGGAATGTACCACGTTCTTCAATTTCTCCTTGTTTTAAAATTATGGTTTCTGTTGAATATGGTGCATAATTAATTTGATTGGTAGCTAAAATAACTATTTTATCTTTTAATGCACCTCTTATACATTTGTGGAAAAGATGCTTACCGACATGAGCATCAACTGCGCTTAATACATCGTCCAAAACATAAATATCTGCGTCACAGTAAACAGAACGTGCAATAGCCACTCTTTGTTTTTGACCACCTGACAAATTGATACCACGCTCACCAATTTCTACCATATCACCTTGAGGGAACAAGGCAATATCGGGACGTAATGCGCACACATCTAATACATTTTGATATTTCTTTTCATCATACTCTTTTCCAAATAAAATATTATCACGTAAAGTTGCATTCATAATCCAAGACTGTTGGCTTACATAGGCAATTGAACCATTAACCAAAAGAGATCCTTTTAAAATTTCCATTTCTCCCAACACAGCTTGACAAATAGATGATTTACCACTACCTACACCACCAATTACCATTAAAAGTGTACCATTTCCTTTAATTTGAAGTGATATATCTTTTAAATTGAAATTTGTATCAACAGATTTACTTTTTGATCTTTCACCACCATCATCAAATTGATGTTTTGCAAAAAATGGTATTTTGTTGATAACATCTTTAAATTTTGATGGCTTTTTTGGCTTACCTTGATTTTCCTCATTTAATGAATCATTTTTAGTTAAGCTTTGTTTTGATTCATCTTTAATTGATAAAACTGCTTGTTGCTGTTGTTGTTGTTGTTGAGTCAAACTACTCCAAGAGAATGTTCCACCGCTAATAAATATACCCTTTTCTTTATTTTCTGGTAATAGATCTTTTGGTTTTGATTTGATAATTTCATCACTTTCATTTTCCAAATCTTTATTAACATACAAACATGTATCTGATTGTCTTGGTTCAATTTCTTCTAAACCAAGGAATGATACAACACGATCTAGAGAAACTTTAAATTGAATATATAGATTATAGCAATGTGGCAAGAAATTGAATGGAACACGTAAAATATTTAAATAAGCTACAGCTGCGAAAATTTTAGCTGCTGGTAACTCTTTATTAACCAAATAATAAACAGTGAACATTAAAATTGAAACTACTGTTGGTAAAGAGGTAATTACAATAACCAAACTATATCTAAAACGTACAAAGCTTTGAAGAAACTTCATTTCATTCTCTCTCTTTTCCAAGACCCTTTTTAAAAATGAATCTTCCCAAGAATATAACTTGATGGTTTTAATAGCTTGAAACATTTCATTGGTAACCTTGACACGCTGATCTGTGAATTGCACCAATTTTCTTCTAAATTTACTTAATTTACTGCCTTGTAATGAATTAAATGGTAAGGTGAGTCCCATTACTGCTAATGTAATGAATGATGGCCATCCTAAGCACTGATAGAGTAAAACCATTGCAACTCCAATCATTGGTAATGCGAAAAGTGCAATATTTACAAATTGAAAAATTTCTAATAATCTCTGTGCATCATTACTCATCAAATTTACAATTTCACCATTGCTTTTTTTATTTCTAGATGAATTTGATAATTTTAATGATTTTTTATAAACAAACAAAACCATAATCGATTTTAACTAATAAAAGAATTTAATTAATATAAATAATTAAAACTATAACTATTATTAATGCTAAAACTTACCCTATTACCAGTTCTTGCAGAAATCATACTTGATTGATATAAAAATACTGAGCCAATCATCGCATTGGTAAATAATATAATCGAGTAATAATAACCCCAATTTTCACCTAAATCTGTTGTTCCTTGAACATATTTTACTATTCTTTGTAAAATCTGGGGTCCGATAAATTGAGAAATTACATTTAACCCATAGAAAACCCAACTTAACATAAAATACTTACCAAATGATTTCCAAGATGCTTTAAAGAAAGATGGTCTAAAATTATAAAATGGGTGTCAGAATATTATTTTTTTTTCTTTTATTTTTATAAATAAAAAACTTACTTTTTACCAGATGCTAATTGTTCATTCCAATTTTTCTCCATAGTTTTATATAAATAATGAGATGTATCAAAACTAGCCAAATCCCAAATATCATCAAGTTGCAAAACATTTTTAAAACAATAGTATACAAATTTGTCTGCCCACAAATAAGTTAATTTTGAAAATATATTAGCCTATAAAAAAATTTATATTAATATTATTTTATAATTTTAATTTTTGATAAAAATATTAATAATAAAAATAATTACATGTTCTTCTGGTGATTTTAATCCCCCAAAACCCTTTTTTTTAACTTGATCAAGTAAATCCTCCTTTTCACTACCATAGTCTTGAAGGTCGTTATTTAATTCTTGTTGTTCGTTTATTACTTTTATATTTTCATAGTTATTATTACTATTGTTATTACTAATATTATAATCGCCATCACTACTATTACCACTATCGTTATTATTGGTACTATAATTAAAAGAAACATTATTAACAATATTTCCACCAATCCCGTTGTCACCCAAGTTTATTTCCTCTAACTCGACACCATCGTTTATTTTTTGGTGCTCATCGGATTCATTATCGCTACTTGTAATACTACTATTATCATTGCTTGTATATTCCTTATCTTCTAAATTTTGATACTTCATTTTAAAACCCTATGCAATAATTGTATTTAATACCACATATAAATAAAGAATATAACAATGATTATTATTATTTAATAATCAGTAATATTAATTATATTGAAATATATAATTAAACTACTGATTATATAATTGATAAAATTTACAAAATAATTATACAATGAATTGTTACTCAATGTGTTTATTTATTTATGAAAGTATATATTTTTTTAAAATTTTAAAAATAAAAAATAATATTTTAAATTTTTGACACAAAATGTCAAAAAAAAATTAAAAAAAATTTTGAAAAATAAAAAAATTTAAAAAATTAAAATAAAATAAAAAAAATCTTTTTTTTCCAATGATCGCACCTAATGGGTATCAAAATTGAAATGATAAAGAAAAGTAATTGTAAAATTTCGTGTAATGTCTGAGGTGTGATTTGGCATAACGAAATGTCTTTTAAAAAAAAAATATATATAAATCAGTGGTTTTACCTGGTGTCTAAAAAAAAACTTTTTTAAACCCCTATCACCACTTGGAAATAAAAAAAAAAAAAAATCATCACATATTATATTTTATATTATTATATATTTTTAAATATATAAGTTTTATTTAATTTATTTATTTATTTATTTATTTATTTATTTATTTTAGAAAGATTGTTTTTTTTCTTTATGAAGAGTAAAGAATAATCCATCAAAATCTAAAAATGTTAATGTATCGTAGAAAATGTTGGTGATTGCTAAAAGCCATTCGAAAATTGAATATTTGCTGTAGGAGAGGTAGACACAATAAAAAGTATGATCAACGAAATATTTGAGAGAACCAATAAAGAGAAGGAAATGGGTTACACCAAGAATAACTTTCCATTTGAATGAGAAAAGATCCTTTTGAGTACTTGGACTATAACTACCGAGGATAATAGAGGTGAGTGATGAATTATCTTGACCTGGTCTAAATTTAATTTTGGTGAGATAAAGTACAACACAATGAGTGTACATGTAAAGGAATGAAAAGATAACATAACTGACGAAACCAACTTGATGTGAGAATAAATGTTCGCTTGATGAAATGTAAATCCAACCACCTGCAGAGAAAACACGAATAGTATCGAAAATAGTTGATAATGGAATTAAATAATTTAATCTCTTTGTAGCTTCCAAAACTGCCATTGATGATTTTCTGTAGTTTGATAAAAGATTATTCTTTTCTTCAGTTGCAACGTAATGATTCAAATAGATGGTTCCTAAACGAAGACCACTAGTTAATGCCATACCATATCTATATACATTCATTTCTGGTGAAAAATCACCAATAGTCGATGAAATAGATGGTAAAAACTCGTACATTTTACAATGGTTTTTAGTGACTCTTTCAAAATGAAGATAACATGCTAAAAACAATGTCAAAAGGAATGAACCTGTTGCAATAATACCATATGATAATGGTAGCAAACTTGCTTTTAATTTAAACATTATTAATTTATTATTATAATACTACTGCTATTATTAATATAAATAATTTAATATATTGTTTTATTATTTATTATAATTATATATTTTTTTATAAATAAATAAATAAAAATAAATGTTATTAATGTTATAAGAGTGATAATGCTAATTAATAATAAAAAAAAAAAATGAAAAGAAATCTATAAAATTTTAAAAAAAAATAAAAAAAATAAAAAAATAAATAAAAAAAAAAATAAAAAAAAAAACTAAAAAAAATGAAAAAAAAATAATTTTGAATATAGTTAGTTCCAAATTGGTTTAATTTACCAACTTTGGATTAACCGTATAATGGGAAATTAAATTTCTTTTGTTTTAATATATTTACAAGGTTTATTTCGGTTTTTTTTTTTTTTTTTTCATTTTTGGGTTTTAATAATTTGAAAATCGCTTATTCCTCACTCTTTGATTCTTCATTTTCTTTCATTTGCTCTGTATGATACTCGTCGGAGGTCCAAACTAAAAAATTGAAAAAAAATTAATATAAATGTTAAAATTTTGTGGTGTCCAAAAAAAAAAAAAAACTACATAAACAAATAATACATACCAGCTTTATTTAAATTTTTAATTGGTTTTGCAATTGTGCAATTTATAACCTTACCATAGATTTCACTTTCGTGCATATTATCTAAAGCATCAGCGGCATCCTCTGGTAATTCAAATTCGACAAACCCAAATCCCTTTGATTTCTCTATATATATATGAATGATAATATAATGTTAATAATGATAACAACACATTACTATCCATAACTATTCTAATACCCACGAGTTTTATAGTCAATTGGTAAATTTATATCTGTAATATTTCCAAATGGGATAAATGCACCTCTTAATATATCTGTAGTAACATTTTCATCCAATCCACCAACATAAATTACATTCTTTTTATTAACATTTTCAGTCATCTCTATATTGAACACAAAAATAAAATTAAAAAGACTCCAATCTATTGAAAAAATTTTTAAAAAGAAAAAAAAAAAAATTAAATAAAAAAAATTTTAAATTTTTAAAAAAAAAAAAAAAAAAAAGAAAAAGAGCAATAAATAAATAATATTACTTTTTTTTTTCATTTTAAAAAATAATGAAAAAAAATAAAAATAAAATGATGAAAACTGGTTTTTGTTTTTAAAATTATTCTATTATTATTTATATATTAAATAACTATTATTAAAAATTGTTTTATTTTCTTAAAGTAAAGAATAAAATAATACCAAGAACAGCAGCTACAATTAAAAGAATAAGAGCAATCCAACACATTTTAGTTCTTGATGATCTTTGATGTTGACTGGCTTTTTGAAGATGAACAACACCCTCTTTAGTATTCATAGCAGTTGATTCAAGACTTGCTTCGATTGTGTTAATCATGACACCTTGTTCTGCAACTATATTTGAAAGGTCAAGGAAAATTTCGTTAATTTCAACGATTGATTGTTCGATTTTACGAATGCCTTCATCTCTTTCTTGAATAATTGAGTTTTGATATTCTCTTTCAGATTCAATTTGTTTTAATTGTTGCATACGTGATGACTCCATTAAACTTTGTGATTCATCTTCCTGTTCATCATAATATCCACCCTGAAAAGTGCTATTGTTAGAAATAGCTTGATTATTTCTATTGTTATTATTGTTATTAAATGGGTTTTGTGATTCGTTTGGATTGTTGGTTGGTAATGGTGTTGATTTTTCTTTTCTAGATGCAGTGGTTGCAATTTCTTTAAATTGTTGTATACATTGATTATATTCTCTACATAATTTATCATATAATAATTTCTGTTTATAAAATATAAAGTTGGTTATGATTAATATTATAAAAAACAATGCTAAATGAAATTTATAAAAAAATACAAACATTTCTAGAATCACGAGTACTTTTAGATAATGACGAAAGATTTTTTACTTTATTTGAAGAATTATGAATTAAACCTGTTGTTGATTCTACACAATTACGTCTAAAAAATGATTAACTTTGGTTAGTATCTATAAAAACTTTTGCTTTTATAACTATTATTTATTACTATTTACATTTTATCTCTAATTTCCATAGAATCTTTTGGGGTTCCAAGTTGTTGTACTAATTTAGTTAATGTACTGATGGCAATTTGCATTTGTTGAATATTTCTTGAGGTATCTTGGTAATCCGGATTCATTTGAACATCTTGTTCGATACCTCCACCACTATTGCTATTAAATCCATTATTATTATTCATATTATTACCATTATAACCATTGCTGTTATAACCTCCACCTGAATTATATTGTCTATTATTATTATTATTATTGTTATTACCAAAACCACCTTGATTGTATCCACCACCACCACCCTGATTATATCCACCACCGTAACCTCCTTGATTGTTGTTGTTGTTGTATCCTCCTTGATTATTATACATTTTATATTAAATATATTTATTGATAAAAAAAAGTAAAAATATAGTTTATTATATTAAAAATTATTATTGTATTATTATTGTTGTTTTGTGTGTAATAAAATTAAAAAATTTAAATTTATTTTAAAAAAATTAAATAATAAAAAATTAAATAATAAAAAAAAAAATTTTAAATAAAAAATAAATGCTAAGTGTGGTTGTTATAATTATTTTTGTTAAATATTATTATTAATTTTTGTGTGTTTGGTTATATAAAAAAAGAGCAAGAGATACTAATTATATATAATAATTATTATATACAATAGTTATTTAAAAAAAAAAATAGAGGAAATGATAAAATTTGGTAACAATCTTTTTTTTTAAATAAAAAATAGTTAAAAAATTATAAAAAATAAAAAAAAAAAATAAAAAAAAATAAAAAAATAAATTTGGTTTTTTTTTTCTTTAAAGTTTTCTTTTTTTTTTTTTTTCTTTTTTTTTTTTTTTTTGAATTATTTTTTTTTTGATTTTTTAGGTTGTTTCCCACAAATCACACCGCCAATGATAAAATTTGCAAATCACACTTTAATTAAATTTAAAATTAAATTTTTAAAATTATTAAGTATTTAAAATATTTTAAATTAAATATTTCTTTCGAAAATTCCAATATATCATTAAACGAAATAATTTCAAAAAAAATTTTAAAAAATAATATCATGGAGGATTTTATTAATATTGATGAAAATGCATAGGTGATAAAACTTTAGAAAGATACTTCAAAGAATTTTTGGAAATTGTTTCACCATGAGCAATGGACAATTTTAATAGTTATTTTAATAATAGATTTAATAGTGACAATAGTATAGATTTCAAATACCATTCAACCATATGCTTGCTACAATGTTCAGAACAAAGTAGTATACCAATTGATAAAAATATTAGGAATTTATTATATAGTGGTCTTGCATGTGAGACTTATAAAGGCAATCACTTAAGAGGATAGGACAATGAAGAATTTAGAACTGAGTAGTATTACTTTAAAATGCAAAATAATTAAATAAAATGTTATAGTTGGCACCAAATCGAACCAAAACTATATCATTTAATAGGAAATGAAATTGGCAGTTTATATGATATACTCTAAAACCTGAATGTAATAATGTATAATTTTCTGAATAGTAAATAGAATTGAGTTTTTTCAAAAAATAATTAAAATAAAGTTATATATAAATCTTTTTAAAAAAAACAAAAATTTTTTATTTCTTTTTTTTTTTTTTATTTTAAAATTAAATATGTGTGGTTATAAGCCTGATATATTTGAATTTAAAAAAAATAAATTAAATTTTATTTTTTAAAATTTTTGTTTTTTTATTTTTTATTTTTTAAAATTTTTATTTTTTTTTTTATTTTTTATTTTTTTTTTAATTAACACAAAAGCGATACATATTAAAAAAAACTGATAAATAAATAAATATAGTAATAATAATTATTAAATTAAATAAAATACTTAAACAATCTTTTTTTTTTAAAGACACCTTAAAAAGTTATCGAAAAATAGAGGAATGAAATGAGTTCTAATTGGACTTTTTCAATATTCGATTGCTGTTCCACACCATTGGTAAGATTTTATTTTAAAAATCATATTATAGGTTTGGTTATTAACTTTGGGTATTATTATATTTAGTTATCATTTGCAACATGTTGCTTATGCCCGTGTCAAGTAGGTAGACAAAGAGCTACCCTTACAGAGTCATTTGGATGTGGTCGTAAGTTATCATTTATTTTATATTTTTAAATAAATTTAATACTAATATGGTTTTTTTTAGAGTGTTTATTTTTAACTTTTTGCTTACCTTTTGCAGCATTTTTAAATAGATATGAAATTAGATCAAGGTATCATATTAGAGGTAATGCAATTAGTGACGGTGTTTGTTGTTGTTTATGTGGATGTTGTGCTACAGTTCAACAAGCAAGGGAGTTAAATTATAAGGGTGATAAACCAGGTGCCTTATTTATGTCAAGCGATGAAGAAAATACATACTCATCACCAAATCCAACATACCAATCACACAACAACGATAGAGAAAGCTTATTTTTAGATCACCAACGTCAAGATTTAGAACAGCAAAAGCACAACTATGAAGATGAGTATATGGGCGATGAAAAGGTTTAGGATAAAATATAATATTTATAAGCTTAATAATAATAATGGGTTATATCTATTTTTGTTTTTTTTTTTTATTCACAAAACCAATAAAAAACTTTTATTTATTTTTCTAAAAATTATTTTTATTTTTATTTTTCTTTATTTTTTTTTCTTTACTTTTTATTTTTTATTAAATTATTATTTATTATTTTATATTTTAAATAAAACAATATTACTGACTATTAACTGTTACTTGAACTATACTTTGAATAGAGATAACCACTGGTTTCAGTTAGTTTTGAATTTTCTGTTAGTGGTTTATAGGGTCTGAATAATGAATTGTTGAAGCCTGCTTTTTGAGCCATATCATTGATAATATACATCAATAATGAAATTGGTAAAATTTCAAAAATTGAATAGTATATTAAATCTCTTAACCAGAAATTTAATGCCAAAAATATTGATAAACAAGTCATAATCGATCGAACAAGGAAACATAAAAATGTGAAAAATATAATTGAATTGCTTTTCTTTTTAAACTGTACAGATTCTTGAGTTTTTAATGCATCTGCAAATTTAGAATCATAATGTTCATAATAAGTTTTAAGTCTAAAAATAATAAGGTAATAGGTTAATACTGGTATTTAAAATTGATCAATTTTATAAATTTTTACTTACAAAAATACAAAAAACCCTATTGAAGTGGATAAATAAATAAAAGAAACAACAACTTGAATAATAATTTGAAAAACTGAACTTGGTTGATCAACCGATGCAGATTCATCAGGGAATAATACAAAATCTAATGTGAATAGGACTGCAAGTATTATATATAATACTACATTTGAAACTTCTACAACTATTTTTAACTTTTCCATATTAACTGCTTTAACAACAAGAGATCCTTGAAAAATTTCAACGCTATAAATAGATATTGAGTGATTAGTATATCATAGTTATTATTTGATTGTATATATATATATATATATATCTATTACATACGATAAAATAAGAGACATAGAAAAAAAAGTTAAATAAAAAAAACTTGGTAATTCGTTCGTCAGGAACAGTAGATTCCCATCTATATATTTAACACGTTCTTCATTTATAATAAATAGTAAAAACGACACCGCCCTAAATAATGATGCTACAAGTAGAATTAAATGAAAACAAATTGTAAAAAGAGTTTCCTTTGCTGTAATTGTGATTGAAGAGTTTAAATAAAACATATTAGTACCAATATTACCGCCATCGTTATTGTTGTTGTGGTATTAATATTGACTTACTTGTTGATCTTATATAACTAACAATAGAAAATACTGATAATAATACATATAAAAAAATTAATGCTATGTGTGAATAATCAAACTTTGGGTCTATTAGTGCCATTATTATTATAAAACATGCATATAAACTGTTTATCTAATTATTCACTATATTGTTTTTATTAGTTTCCCCCACCTAACTTTATTTTTTTTTTTTTTTTTTCTGTTTATTTATTTTGTGATGTTGGAAAAAAAAAGAAATAATAATAAAAAAAAACTTAAAATTAAAGTATATGTGTATGTGTGTGTATGTGTGTGTGTGTTTATGTGTTTAATAGAAATTATTTTTAGTAATTATAAAAAAAAAAATATAAGCTATTAAAATATTTATTTCTTTGTATTACCATAGAATGATTTTGAAATAAAGAAACAATTAAATAAATAAATATATATAAACAAATAAATAAATATATAAATGGGCGGTAAATAATGCTATTATTATTAACTGCAATGTTAACAACAACAATATGAAATGTCAAAAATAATAAAAAAAAAACTTAATTTAATTTACTATTATTTTTATTTATTTACAATGAATGTGCAATGTTGTTGTTATTATTTATTGTATTCTTTGGGTATTGATTATTATTATAATTTTAATTTTTACAAAAAAATTTTTTAAATTGAAAAATTGTATTAATATAATAATATGGAAAAAAAAAATAAAAAAATACAAATTGATTTTTTAAAATGAAATGTATAACTATCCAACAAAAAAAATATTATTGTTATTATCTCTTTATTCTTTTAGTTATTAGTGTGTGTTGTTCTATTTAAAATTTTGGGGAGAGGGTGATAGTGGTGTTTATTTGGGTTAAAAATATATAAATATTTATTTGGGGGGTGTAATTTTGTTTTTATTGATTGTATTTATTTTTATAAAACAATATAGTTATATAATTTTTCTATTTTTTTTTTATTATTGTTTTTAATAAAAAAAGTATGATAAAATGTGATTTGTGTAGCAAAGACAGTGATAGAATTTTCAAAAATTTAAAAATTTAAAAAAAAAAAAAAAAATAAAATAAAATAAAATAAAATTAAAAAATAAAATAAATAAAAAAAATTAAAAAAAAAAAATTAGAAAAATAAATATTTGGGTTTATATAATTATAGATTAAGTCCACTTATAAAATTATCAATCAATCAGTTAATCAGTCAATCAATCAACATATAACTCTAAAAATAACTTTAAACTTAAAAGAAATGTAGTTTGGTGAACAATTAAATATACACAAATAAATAAAAAAAAAAAAAAAAAAAAAAATAAAGAACCTGGTGTCGCAAAAAAAAAAAATTTACCTTTGTGATAAAAAAGTTGATTACTAAATCAAGATTGGTAAATTTTTTAAAAAAATGGAAAAATTAAAAAAAAAATAAAAATAAAAAAAAATAAAAAAAAATTTCTTTTCGTTTTTTTTTTTTTATTTCTTTTAAAAAAAAATCTCCCAAATAATTCATTTATTTAATTAATTAAACCTCTATTATTGATATGATGAATAGATATTTAAATTTATCATATAAGCTATTAAATAATAATAGTTGTAATAATAGAATTTTAAAAAGTTTAAATAGAAATTTAATATTAAATAATCTAAATTATAATAATAATAATAGTAAATATTTTTCAACATCCAATAATAATATTATTAATAATAATAATAATAATACTTCAAATGGATTTGAAAATTTTACAACAAATAAAGAAGATGACGAAGAATGTTCAATTAAATTACCAAAAAATTCATCAGTTGTAAGTTTAAAATTTAAATCACCATTGAGAAACGAAACTGAAAAAAAAGAATTTGATGTAGTGGTTATAGGTGGAGGGCATGCAGGAACAGAAGCATGCACAGCAGCATCAAGGGTTGGAGCAGATACATTGTTAATTACTCAAACTATAAATACTATTGGTGTCATGTCATGTAATCCATCGATTGGTGGTGTAGGTAAAGGAAATTTGGTTACAGAAATTGATGCATTGGGTGGTATAATGGGTAAAGCTGCGGATGAAAGTGGTTGTCTTTTTAGAATTTTAAATTCAAGTAAAGGTAGTGCAGTTCATGGTCCTAGAGCACAAATTGATCGTGAGCTTTATCAAGAATCAATTCATAATATACTTTCAACCTATGAAAAATTATCAATTAGAGAGGGTATGGTTGAGGATCTCCTATTGGATGAAAGCGATCCTAATAATCGTAAAGTTATTGGTGTCTCACTTCAAGATGGTACCATCGTTAAAACAAAAAAAGTAGTAATTACAACAGGTACATTTTTAGGTGGTGTAATTCATCTTGGCAATAAAAGAATCCCAGCAGGTAGAATTGGTGATCAAGCAGCAACAGCACTTTCAGTAACTTTAGAAAGAATTGGTTTTGAATTGGGAAGATTAAAGACAGGTACTCCACCACGTTTAGATGGTTCAACTATTAATTACGAAGGTTTAGAGATTCAAAATGGTGATGAAATTCCCACACCATTCTCTTTCTCAAATAGAAAAGTTAAATACAATCAAAGTCAATTAGCATGCCATATGACAAGAACAAACGAAGAATCACACAAAATTATTTTAGAAAATTTAGATTCACGTCCAGTTTTAGATTCAGGTGAAAATGGTAAAGGTTTGGGTCCAAGATATTGTCCATCAATCGAAACTAAACTCGAGCGTTTTGAAGGTAAATTCCATCAAATTTGGTTAGAACCAGAAGGTTTCAACACAGACGTAGTTTATCCAAATGGTATTAGTATGTCATTACCAGAAGATGTACAATTAAAATTCCTTAGATCCATTCAAGGTTTAGAGAATGTCAGAATGTTAAGACCTGGTTATGCAATCGAATATGATTATATTGATCCACGTGAACTTAAACACACTTTAGAAACTAAAAAGATAAATGGTCTTTATTTAGCAGGCCAAATCAATGGTACAACAGGTTATGAAGAAGCAGGTGCACAGGGTATATTAGCAGGTATTAATGCAGGTCTTTCAATCGATGAAGAAAAGCAACAAATGGTTATTAGTAGATCAGAAGGTTATCTTGGTGTATTGGTTGATGATTTGGTTACAGTCGGTGTTGACGAACCATACAGAATGTTTACATCACGTTCAGAATTTCGTATTTCATTGCGTGCACATAATGCAGATATGAGACTAACAGAAAAAGCTTATAAATTTGGTAGTGCATCAAAAGAACAATACGAAAATCTTCTCAAGAAAAAGAAAATCATATCAGATGTTTTAGAGTTCCTCTCTGTAGAATATAAACCATCAGAACTCAAAACACTTGGTATTAATGTAAAAGATAAAATGTCACTAGCTGACACTATTGCAAAAAGAAAAGAGGTCAACTTTGAACATTTTAGACATTTGATTCCAAAGGATCTAATGGATAATCTCCCAGAGGAATATATACCATTGATCGAAAGCGAGTGTAGATATATGGAATACTCATCAAAACACACTGTAGAAATGGAAAAACTTAGAAATAGAGAGGATAGTCTTATACCTGAATCATTTGATTTTAATGAAATAGGTCAATTATCAACCGAACTTAAACAAAAATTATCTAAAATTCGTCCAACAAGTATTGCTGCTGCTTCTCGTATTAGTGGTATGACTCCAACTGCTTTAATATATATCCAAAACTTTATAAATGTGCAAAATAGAAAGAAATAATTTTTAATAAAAATAAAATAAAAAAATATAAAGATAAGCTATATTTTATTTGTAAATAACAAAAATAATAAAAAAAAAGTATATTTTATTTATATTTTATTTGGTTTATGTATGATAAAGATACTGGAAAATGAGGATAGAGATGAAATAGAATGAATTTTAGAATATTTTTTGTAAATTTAAATAATATTCTATTTTATCTTATCTTCCTTTTCTTCAAAGTATCTTAAAGATACTTTAACCAATGCTCGATAAACCTATATATTCTAAAATAGTTATTTATCCAATAGTTTCTTTCTTTCTTTATTTACACTGATTGGTACTACTACCAAGTTAATTATTGTTTTGTTCTATATATATCCCACAAAGCAATTCTTGAATCTTTTGAAGCTGATGCCAAAATATTATCACCACTAAAATCGATAGAATAAACACTTTCACTATGATACTTGAGAATAGCCAACGGTGTTTGTTTCTTGAAATTGAAAATACGAATTCTTTTATCCCAACCAGAAGTTGCATAAATTTTTTCATCATTTCTTATTTTAATTTCTGATATACCTGGGTTATTTAGTTTATGAGTTTTGGTAACATCGAATTTTCTCTGTTATGGAAAAAAAATTAATATGAAATTCTAAAATAAGTTTATATATTAATAAATAACTTACAGTTTCGTAATTTATGTTAAACTCTATAATATTTGAATCACCAGAACCAGAAATACCTCTAATGCCATCTTTTGATAAATCAAATGATAATATTGGTTCACTATGAAGCTTTGAGGATACCAATGGAACAGAATCATTTCGGAGATCCCACATTAACATTTCCCCACTTTCATAGCCAGCACATAGCCTTATAGAATCATTGCTGCCAGAGGATATTAATTTCATATTCATTGGAAGTCCCAATTTGTCAGAGAATTGATTATTTGTTGGTTTTAATTTGGTAATAATTGATTTATTATTTAAATCCCATATATCGATTTTTGATTCTTCAGATGAAATAGAAAGTAAATTGGTGGAGCCGCTATCTGTTGATGGTAAAGATGACAATAACGAATAACATTTTCCTAAAGACATTGAATATGTTTCTAATTTGAAAATATTTGTTAAAGTTGAACCATCGGTAGTACTCCATATTTTAATTGTTCCATCACGACCTTGACTTATTAAATGACCACCCAGAGTGGATTGTAGGGATAAGACACCACCCTCAACATGGGGAGCCAAAGTGGACAAGCATTTCTTTTCTTCTATATTCCATAGCTTTAATTCGCCATCTCCCGAACCTGAATATAATATATTTGAATTTTGTTTATCAAATACAATTGAATTTATATGAGCTTTGTGACCTCTTAATATATAATATGGATCTGGTGCTTGAGGAGAGTTTGTTTTCATTTACAAAAAAAAAATAATAATGAAAAAATTTAAAAAATGAAAAAAAATAAATTACAAAAAAATTAAAAAAAAAAAAACAAATTAAAAAAAATATTGATTATAAAAAAAAGATGTTTTAGTTTATATATTTTATTTTTTTTTTTTTTTTTATATTATAATATAATATATTATTATTATTATTATTATTATTTTATTATTACTATTATTTATTATTATAATTGATATTATTATAATTGATTGATATTTTAAAAAAAAGTATTGTAGCTATTATTTATTTATTTATTTATTTATTTATTTATTTATATATTTATTTTTATTTAATCACCTCTCTTTTTATTTAAGAAGGATCTTGGTTCATTATTTTTATTTTGTTGTTTAACTTGTTCCATTTCTAAACCAATTTTTAAGAATGCAGATAACATTAAATTAATTTCTCTATGAGATTCTTCTCTACCTTCTCTAAGTTGTTTTTTGAGATCTTCATTCATTTCGGTTTTATTTTTAAGTGTAACTTCATATTTTGAAATTTGTTCATCCTTTTGTTGTAATACTTTTTCCAATTCTCTGATGGCTTTTAATTTTTCTCTTAAATCTTTGATAATATTTCTAGAGGCTCTTAAACGATCTTCAAGATTTTCATAACCAAGTTGAAGTTCATTGTAGTTTCTAACTTTATCGAGATCTTCTGGGGAGATGTTTTGTTGAGTTGATAATTCGACCAATTGTTTTTTAATTTCGTCAAGACTAAGATTTGATTCTTCAAGTTTTCTTTTGAGAATTGTAACTTCTTGTTCTTTTTCAGAGAGTTGTAATTTTAATGATTCGATTTCGGATAATGCTTCTTGTGAAATACCTTCTGATGAAACAACATTTGAAATATTTGTTGGTTTATTGATTTCGATATCTTTAATTTGTGCTAATAATACTTCCTTTTGTTGGATAGCTTCTTCTAATTGATTTTCTAATTCTGATGATTTTTCTGCGACTTCTTTTAATCTCTTATTATCTCTTTCTAAACGAGCTATTCTTTCTTTAGTTGAGGAGTCTACAACTTCATCACCAATACCGCCACCACTGCCCATACCACTTTGGGTGAATGATGATAAAGTGGAGAGTTCAGTTTTGTGATCATCTTCTTTCTTTTCCATTTCTTGTCTAAGAGTTTCGACCTTGTGTTTGAGGACATCACGTTCTTTTTCGACAGATGATAAAGTTTCGGTGAGTTTGTCACGATCTTCTTTGACTGATTTAAATTGGAGCTCTAGTTTGGTTACTTCGATCTTTAATGATGAGATTTGTTGTTTACCAGAATCAGCTTGATTCCTTAAAGCATTGTTCTTTGAGAGTTGTTCTTCGAGATCTAATGTTTGTTGAATATAATTATCGTTTTGTTCTTCAAGCTCTTTAATTTTCTTTTTAAGATCGGCAATCTCTTCAATTTTCTTTTGATGTTTCTTTAATTTCTCTTCTGTAGCTTCGGCATTAATTGCTTTTTCACGAAGAATATCAATTTCATCACGAAGTGAACGATTTTCATTTGCCAATCTGTTTGTTTCATCGATTTTCTTTTTCAAGTCTTGTAATTGTTTATCTTTACCTTCGAGTTGCATGTGGAGATCATTAATTTCATTCTTGAAAGTTTCATCGTTGATGGCATTTAATGTGGAGGTTTGAGCCATTGATTCGTCGAGTTGTTTTTGTAAATGCATAATATTCTCTTGTAATTTTTGACAATTTTCTTCAGTTCTTTGTTTATCTTCTAATACTCTATCACGATCCATTGTAATTTGTGAAAGTTGAATATTTGATTCATCAAGATCATTTTGAAGCTCCTCTTTATCTCTTCTTAATTTTTCAACTTCATTTTGTAATAATAAAATATCTTTTTGATGATTATTTGAATCACTTCTATTATTGAGAACGCTGCTGCTCATTGGTGATGATGACATTTTATATTCGTCTTCTGATTGGTGTTTAGTATTATTGTTATTATCATCGTCTAATGATGGTCTTGAATTTTGAATCTTTAAAATTAATTAAAATTTTAAAATTAGTAAAAGTTAATATAAATTTATTTTTTTTAATAAAAATTTACTTTTGAAACTGCATGCATAAGATCATTTTGGGTATCTTGATCTAATTTTAAAATATTTTCAACAACTTCTTCATTGTTTTCACTGTCCATTGCCATACCTAAAATGACTTCAATTAATTTAACAATTTCTTCTTCGCTGCCATGTGCTACAGATTCAGTATCAATTGAAGATAATTGATCGTTTAATGACATCTCTTCTCTATAGAATTCATCGATTCTTTCAATAATACCCTTTATATTCTCTTCTCTAAAAATCCAATTATCTAATTCTTCTTTTCTAGTCGATTCTAAATCAAAATATTTTGGTGTACTATAAATTATAATAAATTAGTTAAAAAAAAACATTTTTTAAAAAATATATAGATTATTATTATACATACATTTGATTACAAATTTCATTTAAAATAATACCATCTGATAAATCTGATAAATTTTCAACATTTTTTGATAAATCATTAAATGAATTAATCTATATTAAAAAAACAATTAATTAGTTTTTTTGTTTAAAGATGCTATTGGTACCCATACGGGTTATCTCTGTTTATATGGTTTCGTTTTATCCTTACCCATTTAATAAAACTTGTTTCTATCATTTCTTTTTATATAATGTGTAGTGTATATATAAATTATTTATTTTTATTTTTTTTTAATAAATTTATTGTTGTTTATTATTTTTAAAAAAAAAAAACTATTGTATTGTTTATTGTAACTTGTATTTATAAAATCCCTTTATTATTTTCGAATAGAGACGAAAATATAATTTTGGTTGTGTTAATTTGTTTTTTTATATAAAAAAAACTATTTGAAAATCAAAAAAATTAAAAAATAAAAAAAAAAAATAAAAAAATAAAATTAAAAAAAAAAATTTAAAAAAAAATAAAAATAAAAATAAAAATAAAAAAAATTTTTATATTGAAAAAAAGTTATATTTCTGGTTTTTTTTTTTTCTTTTTATGTCTATGTTTATGATATAAACATATAAAGATAAATGAGAATTTTACAAATTTTTATTTTTTAATAATTAATTTTTTAATTTTTTTACAACAGAAAAAAAAAAAAATAACACACCCAACTATAGCAACAATTTGAAAAAAAAAAATTCTATTTTAAGTAATAACCATTTTGGGTTTAAAAAAATATTTTGTTCATTATTTTAAAATAACACTTTTGTTAAGTTAATGATTGAACATTATTTTATTTAAAATTTTTTTTTGATTTATTATATGATTGGAACTATTTTCGAGATTTAATCTTTTAAAACAACTTTATGATCATTAAACATTGGTAAAATATTCCTTGATTTCTTTTATATAAATAAAATGTTAATAAATTTTATGAATTGTGATTATTAGAAGTAATATATTCTATTCTCTTACCATTAGGTTTTCGTGGTCATTTTATTTTAAAAAAATAAAATATCTTGGAAAAAAAAAAAAAAAAAAAAAAAGATATTTTAAAATTATAATAATTTAAAGAAAGACTAAGATATATAATA